TCATGTGTCGTATGCTTGAAATCAGAGGCGGTAGAGAGTGTGGGGGTCACACTGACAAGTACTTAGGGGCTGTGTCCGCTGAGCGTGGGGCCGAGACCCCTGGTGGGCGGCCCCTGCCCCCGGGCCGAGGGAGCCTTGAGGGATGGTTCCAGAACCCGTGAGGAGGGTCCCGGTCGGTGGTCTTTTCCCGACAGATAACTTGTGGAGCAGATACACGGGCAAGGGCTTGTTTGTGGAGAAGGGGGGCACGCCCTCGGCACCCGTCCCCGACAAGGCCCGGCCCAGCGGCCTGCCCTACGTGCTCACGGACATCACGACCCACTTCACCCTACTGGTCGGCATCTACTTCCCATCGGTGACCGGTGAGCTGGGGCGCGGGGTGCTGTCACCCCTGCCTCTGTCCCCTGCCTTCTCAGTGTCTGCCCACCCCTCCGTCCCTCTGTCCCCTGCCTTCTCGGTGTCCCTCCGTCCGCCCGTCCGCCCTGACGCGCACTCTCATCACTGCCTCTTTGGTGACTCCTGCTTTCCTCGGTTGAGAGCACGGGGGTCCCTGCAGCCATGTGGGTTCTGACGGGGCGCGGAGGCAGGCCAGGAGCAGCTCGGGGTGCCGCCTGGCTGCACCTTGTGGTCCCTCGTCGCCTGTGACTATGGCAGGGACTTGCTGACCCACGATGCCTGCTGCTGGGTGGACGTGGGTACCGCCCAGTTGCCGCACGTCACTGTGCCCCGCGGCCCCAGCTGGCAGACGGTGCTCTCCGGACGTGTGTGCTGCTGGGTGGGCGCGGGTGAGGCCGTCAGGAGCACGGGCTGTGCGCGCACACGGCCCGGACAGCGACCGCGCTCTCTGGAATAGGTCTGTGACCGCCAGGCTGTCTCTGCCCTCTGTCCCGCAGGCATCATGGCAGGCTCGAACCGCTCCGGGGACCTGCGGGACGCCCAGAAGTCTATCCCCACAGGCACCATTTTGGCCATTGCGACCACATCCTTCATATGTATCCTTGCAGGGCCGCGGGGACAGGGACGAGGGGGCAGGAGGCTGTGTCAGGGGACGGGGGCAGCGAGGTTGGCGTCCTGGGGACCCTCTCCCAAGGTCCCAGCTGGCCTCACATGGCTGCCGCGAGCAGTTGGTCGGCTGCGTGAGCTCTGGGCGCGTCTGACCTGAGCGTGCGTTCCTCCGCACGGCTGGGTTACGAGCAGGTGCCGGTGCGCAGAAGGCGCGGTTCCATAGAGCCCCGCCACGTTCCCTACTTCCTGAGGTCCCTGCGTCCCTGTGGGTGCTTGTTAGACTGAGAGAGTTGATCCGCTGTTATAAACTAAGCTGGAGAAGTTGACATCCAGGCTGGCTTTTTTAAACAAATGCTTGATGGCTCCTGTCCCCACCACAGGATCCACCACGCCCAGTGTGGGTGGGCCGGCGTCTGACGTCAGAGCTGAGACGCCGCACTGAGGAGTCGGCTCGGCGTCTGACGTCAGAGTTGAGACGCCGCACTGTGGAGTCTCCTCGGCGTCTGACGTCGGAGTTGAGACGCCGCACTGTGGAGTCGGCTCCTCCCCTTCTGCACGTTAGTGCTTTTGTGCCTAGGGAGACCCGCAAGGGCTGGAGCCTGACGGACGGCCCTGATTTATCTCTTCCAAGATTCCCACCTTTGGCATGGCGCAGTCTCACCACTTCTTGGTCACTCATTTCAGGAAAAGTACTTGCACTTCCTTCTCTGACAGGTTCCGGCTTTCGTAGGTTTTACTGTGTGTATTTAACTTACCAGCCCAGGGTTTAAGGGCTCATCCTGGGACAGGAGGGCAGGGGACAGTCTGTGTTACATGGATGACCAGAGGCAAACCTGCTGCCACTAACTCGATACCAGCACACAGTGCCTTAGAGGACACAGTGCCTGTCAGTCTTCACAGAAGCAAAGCCCAAACCACACCCACTGCCCTGGAGTCCATTCTGACCCACAGCGCCCCTAGAGGACAGAGTGGAACTGCCTACAGGGTCTCCAAGGCTGTCAGTCTTCACAGAAGCAAAGCCCAAACCACACCCACTGCCTGGAGTCCATTCTGACCCACAGCGCCCCTAG